ATGTGGTGTCCGCTCTGTTGCTGCGGGCTCTGCCCTGAAGCCACAGGCTTCAACACAGGCTCCGCCCTGCTGCCACTGGCTCCGTCTTGCAGCGGAATCTCTCTGTTAGGGCGGGTTGCCTCAGCAATGGCAGGCTGCATCAGCAATGGGAGTGTACCTCAGTAGGGGCAAATTGCCTCGGTAATGGTGAATGCCCCTTTCCCCACCGAGCTGCACTGTCCTGGGTTCAGCTGTGCCTGCAGTGAAACTCTCCACCCAGAGCATTTTGAATTGCCATTTTGTGTGTCCCTTTGGAGGTGAAACCCACCGAGCCTGCTCGCCTGGCTCCCTGCCTCAGAGCATCTTTCTTTTTTTTTAAGTTGAACAGTTGGCTCTCTACCAGGTGTTTCAGTCGCCCACTGTTACAGGACTGGGATCTGTGTGATTTTTTGTGCCACTAGCCACTGCACTGGCTCAAACGCCACTTCCCAGGAATCTCCTGGTCTGGATCACTGTCCAAGTCCTGTTTAATCAGATGGAGATGCTAATCTGCCCTCCCAAATCTCAGATTGCCAATTTAGCAGGGCACCCAGGCCAGTGTGCTTTGTGCGAATTGTTGTGGAGAGCCGCTGTGCTGTGGCACCAGCCGAAGCGGCCACAACAGCCAAAATGGCTGCGCTTGCATCCTGTGTTTTTCCTACACCTGGGAATTTCTTCGTTCTGTGGGCAACAAAGATCTGTCTGGAAATGCAGCTTTGACTCATCCTCTGAGCATTCACTGAGAGCTGCAATCCTGAGTTGTTCTTACTGTGCCATCTTGAATTCTCCTTCCACAATCTCATTTCTATTTACTAACAATGAATGTGGAGATACCAAAATTTAACAATACATTTTATAATTATCACCCCAAATGAATATGTTGTATACACATAACAAAAGATTCACAGTATCTATATGCTGAAAATCATAAAATGCTGATTGAAGAAATCAAAGAATCAAAGTATATTGAAAGACATACTATATTCATGAATTACAATATTTAGCATGATAAAAATATAAGCTCGCCCCAAATTGAAATATATGTCTAATAAATTTCTGTTGAAACCTCAGATAAATTTTTAGATATAAAAATCTGATGCTAAAATTTATATTAAAATGCACATACAGTAGAAGATCTAAAATAATCATGACAAAGAAGAATAAAGAGGCACTATATAGCTATATTAATTAAATGCTATGTGGTATCAGAAAAAAAAGGTGAACACATACGTAAGTAAAAAAGTATATGAATCAAAATATAAATCCAACACAAATGGGTACAAAAAATATATTTAACTGATCATTGATAAAGAAGCAAAAGCACTTAATAAAAGATAACCTTTCAACAAATGCTTCTGGAGATATACAAAAACTAAATATAAATGGATTTTAGCTGTCAATATAACACATATAACTATATAATTTTTAGAAAAAACATTACAGGAGAAAACCTTCAAGACTTAGGGCTCAACAAAGAGTTCTTAACATCTAAAGCAGGATACATTTCTAAAAGGAACTAATGATCAATAACTCTGCATCAGAACTAATCACTTTTTCTCTGACAACACTTTTGTGAAACAGATAAAAGACAAGTTACAGACTGTAAAAAAATATTTGCAGATCAAATACTTGACAACATATATAGTTTAAAAACTATATAAATAATTAACAAAAGTCAACAGCTTACAATCATACAATCTTTGATAAACCTGACAAAAACAAGCAATGGGGAAAGAATTCCCTATTTAATAAATGGTGTTGGGAAAACTGGCTAGCCATGTGCAGAAAGCAGAAACTGGACCCCTTTTTGACACCTTACACTAAAAGTAACTCCAGATGGATTAAAGACTTAAACATAAGACCTGGCACCATAAAAACCCTAGAAGAAAATCTAGGCAAAACCATTCAGGACATAGGAGTAGGCAAGGATTTCATGACCAAAACACCAAAAGCATTGAAAGAAAAAGCCAAAATAGACAAATGGGACCTAATCAAACTCCACAGCTTCTGTACAGCAAAAGAAACAGTCATTAGAGTGAATCAGCAACCAACAGAATGGGAAAAAATTCCTGCAGTCTACCCATCTGACAAAGGGCTGATATCCAGAATGTACAAAGAACTCAAACAGATTTACAAGAAAAAAAAAACAAACAAGCCCATTCAAAAATGGGCAAAGGATATGAACAGACACTTTACAAAAGAAGACATACATGAGGCCAACAAACATATGAAAAAATGCTCATCATTGGTCATCAGAGAAATGCAAATTAAAACTACATTGAGATACCATCTCACACCAGTTAGAATGGCAATCATTAAAAAATATGGAGACAACAGATGCTGGAGAGGATGTGGAGAAATAGGAACACTTTTACACCACTTGTGGGAGTGTAAATTAGTCCAGCCATTGTTGAAGACAGTGTGGCGATTCCTCAAAGACCTAAAATAGAAATTCCATTTGACCCAGCAATCCCATTACTGGGTATATATCCAAAGGACTATAAATTGTTCTACTATAAGGACACATGCACACGAATGTTCATTGCAGCACTGTTTACAATAGCAAAGACCTGGAACCAACCCAAATGCCCATCGATGATAGACTGTACTGGAAAAGTGTGGCACATATACACCATGGAATATTATGCAGCAATCAAAAACAATGAGTTCATGTCCCTTGTAGGGACATGGATGAATCTGGAGAACATCATTCTCAGCAAACTGACACAAGAACAGAAAATGAAATACTGCATATTCTCACTCATAGGCGGGTGATGAACAATGAGAAGACATGGACACAGGAGAGGAGCACTACACACTGGGGTCTATTGGGGGAATAGGGGAGGGACAGCGGGTGGGGAGCTGGGGAGGAATAGCATGGGCAGAAATGCCAGATGTGGGTGAAGGGGAGGAAAACAGCAAATCACACTGCCATGTGTGTACCTATGCAACTATCTTGCACGTTATGCACATGTACTCCAAAACCTAAAATGCAATCAAAAAGCCCAATTAAAAAATGTCCAAAAGACATGAATGTACGTTTTACCAAAGATGATAAAAAGAAATAGTCAATATAATCAGCCATCAAGGCAATAAATATTAAAACCACTGAAGTATTATGTATGCATGTCAAAATGTGTAAGAGTTTTTAAAAATAATGACAACACCACATTTTGAGAAAAATTAGGAAAATTAGATCACTTATATTTTAAATGGGAGAATTTAGTAAAGTGGTACAGTCACACCAAAAAAGTCAAATATTTTCACAGCTAAATGTGCAATTAGGTTCTGTCCCAGCAATAGCACTCCTAGGGATTTAAGACAGATAAATGAAGACATATTCACACAAAAACTTATACACAATATTCATAGCAAATTTATTTGTCATAGCCAAAATCTAAAAACATCCCAGATGCTCTTCAACAGGTAGTTGGTTAAACAGATGGTGCTGTATCCTATATCTATGTAAATGTTTATGTATATTCTATATGTAATATCTATATATAGAGATATATAATATAGATATATATATCATGATCAATATATAGATATGTCTATCAATAGATATAGAGATATTATGTATCTCTAGAAAGAGTTACATAATATAGATATATATTATATAGATATCAATATATACTGATTATCTAACAATGGAGATAGAGGTATATTACCATGGAATACTACTCAGCAAATAAAGTATAATGAATCATTGATACATTCTACATGGATGAACCTCCTCCAGGAAATTATGCTGAATGAAAAAATAAGCCAATTAGAAAAGTCACTTGCTGGATGGTTCCCTTTATATAACATTCTTGAAATAACAAAGTTCTAGGAATGTATGAATGGATAGCAGGAATTGGAAACCAACAAGTGGGGGGATGGTGCAGGTAGTTATATAAGCACAATACAAGGATTCCTTGTGGTGATGAATTGTTTAGAATCTTCACTGCAGTGGTAGATACATAGCCCTATAAATGTGATTTTTTTATATGGAGTCAAATACACACATAGCCACATACACACAGGCAAGTGTGTAGGGAAATCTGATTTAGATGGGTGGATTTTATCAATGTCAATATCCTGCTGGTGATACTAGACTATGGCATTGCAAAATATTTCCATTTAAGAAAACTAAAGTATTCATAGTATCTCTGTATTATTTCTTACATCTACATGTAAATCTAAAATTAACTCAATAAAATTTTTAATTTGAAAAATGGACAGCCCCAATTCTGTTTGATAGGATGCATCACTAATGTCTGAAGAATAATATATTGAAGTTGGTAGTGACTGTGACTGGAAAACATTAACAATGACTGACCCAAAATATTTTATTAGAATTTATTAGAATTAAGTATTTATCTCTCAGTAATCAAAATCAATGACAGGAATTTAAAACTTCCTCCATAATTCTTCACATAAAGAAGACTCATTTTATTTACAAAGCAATTCCAATTTTTCATTTCCAAACAGAATAATTTTGCATTTTTAATACCTCCTCATAAATCTAATTTTGTATTATTTCTATGAGATTCTCTCTTGTTCTACAAGCTTTCTCCTTTTGTCTAACTCTAAATGAATTATGAGCATTACTGCTTTCTTTACTTTATTTATATTTATATATTAATAATTTAGTTTTGGTTTTTAAATGGGTGTTCATACTATATATAGAGGCCAAAATAACATCATTTTAGATGTCAAAATAACTCTAGAGGTGAAAAGAATAATATGTAAATTTGGGATGAGGGAGTACAAACTTGATTGTTTCTTTGGAAAAAAATGCTACACAAGCACCTGTTCATTTTATCTAAAATATCAAGTCCTTAGTAGAATTTGTCTAATTGGCTATAGCAAATTTTAAATTTGCCCGAAAGAACACAGTGGACTTTGAGTGGGTGCAAAGAACACTTTGAATCAAATGCAAATAAGTACAAAAAAAACAATAATTTGTTTATGTGTTAAAAGTGTTAATTACTTACTACAGAATGGATATGTGCCACTAGTATCCAAAAACACAGTGGTCCTAAGTGGTCTTTCTTCCATTCGTTCTTTTAAAACATCTTTAAATAGCTTGGCTTGATAACCTGACATTTGAAAAATAAAACATTAGAAATTGGACATCCATTAAATAGCATATAAAAATGTCAAATCACTAAAGTAATTAAGTACATAAAACCATCATGATGATCATCATGGATTTTGATAACTTACAAAGAATTGTTTTCAAGTAATATAGCATTCTAGTTATTTTAATTATGGTAACAACTCGTAATTTCAGGATTCACAAATAAATCTGCTTCCTGAACAATCTTATCAAAGCTTGGCATACTCCATATGGCTATAGTCCATTTTTAGAAGTTTTACTATTATAAATTCAGAATTTTACTTGTAATTCTTTACAATAAATAAGCAGAGTAAATTGACTACATAAAACAGAGTATAGCTCCATGAGTATAGCTCCCTCATTCTCCCATACATATAATACATACAGATATGGTATGCATGTATATATGTTATTTATACTATATATATGTATTATAGACGTATTTTCAATGTACTATATATTGTATATATTATATACATATTTCAGATACATATGTGCACATGTAGAATATTTATTATATATAACATACTGATATATTGATAAAAATTTAAAAATTAACTTTATATTAATATATATTTCATATGCTTCATGTATTTCTTTGTTCCCACATTGCTACCTCCAAATTTGAGATTTGAATATGGTAGAAAGAACAGTAAATTAAAAATTCAGGAACTTGAGGAAGATGGCGCTGTAGGACCAACTAAGGATTGCACCTCCCAGTCAATCCACAGAGGGTGAGTGGATGCCGCATTTCCATACAGATCTTTATTGTCCACAGATTAGGAGATTCCCAGGTGCAAGAGCCCCATGGGCCGTGCGGCAGTTTTGGGCTGGCGCGGCTGATTGGGCTGAGGCCGCAGTACACCGACACTCCATACAAAATACGCGGGTTTGGTTGCCCTGTTAAACCAGCAATTGGAGATTTTGGAAGGCAGATTAGTACATTCATCTGATTAAACGAGACTTAAACAGAAAGCCAGCCCAGGAGATTCCCAGGCAGCAACGTGGTTTGAGCCTGCACAGTGGGTCGCTGCACAGAAAATCACACAGATCCTGGTGCCCTTGCAGCAGGTGACTGGAACACCTGGGAGAGTCAACCACTCAACTTAAAGAAAAAAGGGGGCTCTGAGGCAGGGAGCCAGGGGATCAGGCTCGGCGGGTCCCACCCCCACAAAAACAAACAAAACAGCAATTGGAAATGCTTGGTGTTGAGAGTTTCATGACAAGCACAGCAAAGCCCAGGATGGTGCAGCTTGGAGGGGGAGGGGCATCCGCCATTACCAAGGCACTCAACCCCTACAGAGCTACACTGTTATTGCTGATGCAGCCTGCCATTGCCGAGGCAACCTGCTGTTGCCAGGGCAACCTGCAATAACAGAGAGAGTCTGCCACTACAGAGGCAAGCACACCCATATAAACAGGACTACAGGGAATTACACACAACAGCAGGGCGGAGCCCATGACAGCAGGGTGGAACTCACGGCAGCTCAGCATAGCCACTGCAGGCAAGCAGTGATTAGACTGCCCCCTTGATGGGCAGGACAGTGCAACAGTTACTCATAAATGGAACCCTAACTCCCCAGGACAGATCACCTGAGGAAAAAAAAAGGGCTTAATGAGATCTGCTGCAGCAGACTTAAACGTACCTGCCTAGCAGCCCTGAATGAACAATGGAACTCACAGCTCAGCACTTGAGCTCCTATAAAGTACAGATAGTCTCCTCAAGCAGCTCCATGACCCTTGTATATCCAAAGAGTAACCTCTCAAAGGACTGATCAAACTGACATATGGCAGGCATCATTCAGGGACAAAGATAGCAGAATAAAAATCTGGTAGCAACCCTCACAGTTCTGCAGCTGCTACAGGAGTTCCCCCGGCAAGTAGGGCCTGGAGTGGACCTCAGCAGTCCTACAGCAGTGGGGCCAGAAAGTTAGAAGGAAAACTAAGAAACAGAAATACTTCATCAACAACAATCTAGACGTCCACTCAGAGACCCAATCCAAAAATCAGCAACCACTCAGAGGACAGGTGAATAAATCTGCAAAGATGGGAAGAAACCAGTGCAAAAAGGAGGAAAACACCCAAAACCAGAACACCTCACCTCCTACAAAGAACCAAAACTCCTCACCAACAAGGGAACAAAGCTGGATGGAGAATGAGTGTGATGAAATGACAGAATCAGACTTCAGAAGGTGGGTAATGAGAAAATTCCGAGAGCTAAGAGAACATGTTCTAAATCAATGCAAAGAAACTAAGAACCTTGAAAAAAGATTTGAGGAAATGATAACAAGGATGGACAACTTACAGAAGAATATGAGTGAATTGAAAGAGCTGAAAAACACAATACGAGAACTTCGAGAAGCATGAACAAGTTTCAACAGCTGAATTGACCAAGCAGAAGAAATGATATCAGAAGTCAAACATCAACTCAATGAAATAAAATGAGAAGCCAAGATTAGAGAAGAAAAGCACAAAAAGAAATGAACAAAACCTCCAAGAAACGTGGGACTATGTGAAGAGACCTAATCTATGTTTGATAGGTGTCCCTGAATGTGATGAAGAGAATGAATCCAAGCTGGGAAATACTCTTCAGGATATTACCCAGGAAAATTTCCCCAACAACCTAGCAAAGCAGGCCAATATTCAAGTCCAGAAAATATAGAGAACACCACAAAGATATTCCGCAAGAAGAGCAACCCCAAGGCACACAATCATCAGATTCACCAGGGTTGAAATGAAGGAGAAAATGCTAAGGGCAGCCTAAGACAAAGGTTGGGTCACCCACAAAGGGAAGCCCATCAGACTCACAGCAGATCTCCGGGCAGAAACCCTACAAGCCAGAAGAGAGTGGGGGCCAATATTCAACATCCTTAAAGAAAAGAACTTTCAATCCAGAATTTCATATCCAGCCAAACTGAGCTTCATAAGTGAGGGAAAAATAAAATCCTTTCAAACAAGCAAGTACTCAGAGATTTTGTCACCACCAGGCCTGATTTACAAGAGCTCCTGAAAGAGGCACTACACATAGAAAGGAACACCCAGTACCAGCCCTTCCAAAAACACCATATGCTAAAGAGCATCAACAAAATGAAGAATCTGCATCAACTAATGGGCAAAACAACCAGCTAGCATCAAAATAGCAGTATCAAATTCACATATAACAATATTAACCCTAAATGTAAAGGGCTAAATGCACCAATCAGAAGACACAGACTGGCAAATTGGATAAAAATCCAAAACCCATCAGTGTGTGCTGTATCCAGGAAACCCATCTCACATGCAAGGATACACAAAGGCTCAAAATAAAGGAATGGAGGAAGATTTACCAAGAAAATGGAGAGCAAAAAAGAGCAGGAGTTGCAATTCTCATCTCTGATAAAATAGACTTTAAAGTAACAAAGATCAAAAGAGTCAAAGAAGGACATTACATAATGGTAAAAGGATCAATACAACAAGAAGAACTAATGATCCTAAATATATATGAACCCAATACAGGAACACCCAGATATATAGGGCAAGTGCTTAATGACTTACAAAGAGACTTAAGACTCCCAGACAATAATAGTGGGAGACTTTAATACTCCACTGTCAATATTAGACAGATCAACCAGACAGAAAATTAACAAGGAGACCCAGGGCTTGAACTCAGACCTGGAACAAGGAAACCTGATAGACATTTACAGAACTCTCCACCCCAAAGCCACAGAATATACATTCTTCTCAGCACCACATCACACCTACCCTAAAATTGACCACATAATTGGAAGTAAAGCGCTCCTCAGCAAATGCAAAACAACTGAAATCATAACAAACAGTCTCTCAGACCATAGTGCAATCAAGTTAGAACACAGAATTCAGAAACTAACTCAGAACTGCACAGCTTCATGGAAACTGAACAACTGGCTCTTGAATGTTGCTTTGATAAACAATGAGATGAAGGCAGGAATAAAGAAGTTCTTCGAAACCAACGAGAACAAAGTCACAACATACCAGAATCTCTGGGACACATTTAAAGCAGTCTCTAGAGGAAAATATATAGCAATAAGTGCCCATATGAGAAGAGTGGAGAAATCTAAAATTGACAGTGTGGCGATTCCTCAAAGACCTAGAAGTAGAAATTCCATTTGACCCAGCAATCCCATTACTGGGTATATATCCAAAGGACTACAAATCTGCCTACTATAAGGACACATGCACATGAATGTTCATTGCAGCACTGATTTTACAATAGCAAAGACCTGGAACCAACCCAAATGCCCATTGATGATAGACTGTACTGGAAAAATGTGGCACATATACATCATGGAATATTATGCAGCAATCAAAAAAACGATGAGTTCGTGTCCCTTGTAGGGACATGGATGAATCTGGAGATCATTCTCAGCAAACTGACACAAGAACAGAAAATGAAATACTGCATATTCTCACTCATAAGCGGGTGATAAACAATGAGAACACATGGACACAGGGAAGGGAGCACTACACATTGGGATCCATAGGGGGAATTAGGGGAGGGACAGTGGGGGGAGGGAGTGGGGAGAGATAGCATGGGGAGAAATGCCAAATGTGGGTGAAGGGGAGGAAGGCAGCAAAACACACTGCCATATGTGTACATATGCAACTATCTGGCATGTTCTGCACATGTACCCCAAAACCTAAAATGCAATTAAAAAAAAAGAATTCAGGCCGGGCGCGGTGGCTCAAGCCTGTAATCCCAGCACTTTGGGAGGCCAAGGCGGGTGGATCACGAGGTCAACAGATCGAGACCATCTTGGTCAACATGGTGAAACCCAGTCTCTACTAAAATTACAAAAAATTAGCTGGGCACGGTGGTGCGTGCCTGTAATCCCAGCTGCTCGGGAGGCTGAGGCAGGAGAATTGCCTGAACCCAGGAGGCGGAGATTGCGGTGAGCTGAGATCGCGCCATTGCACTCCAGCCTGGGTAACAAAAGTGAAACTCCGTCTCAAAAAAAGAAAAGAATTCAGAAGTTTTACTCAAGTTCTAATTGATGCCTTTATATAATCTATATATTTACTCGGTTATAATTTTCTTATTATATGAAAGAAGGTTGGAACCAGAAAAGCAATCCACAACAGGAAGCCTGAAGGAAGCTAATCCCACATGATATCTTATAGACAGAAGAGGTCTAAAAGAAAAATCAAATTGGCAAAGCCTGCACAGTGCATACCCCTCCCAGAGTGTTCTCTGTGTATGTTAATCCTGCTTCAGTGTATGGTTTAATTTAGCCTATATAATCACTACCCATTCCTGGAACCCCTTTAGCATTGGAAACATTTCTGGAAAATCCTGCCATGATACTGACCAGATGTTTACAGGCTCATGTCATCCTTGAGTCCAGTGCTCTCTTTGAAAATCCCTGAGCAAATAGCCTCTGAAATTCTTTCCAGTTCTAGTATTATATATTTATGTGGATTCTTTTTTCTCTATGATTTCCTATTGCTAATAGAAAATAAGCACTAATTTTCTCTATAATTTCCTTTAAAAAAGGTTTTAGTTATCAGAAGTAGCAATACTTGACTGCTCTTACCAAGCTTTATCCATTTAGAAGGTGTGAACCATGTATGATTCATGTCTACTTGCTGATAGCAAATGAGAAGCTAACCATGGTTCACATCTCTTCACTTGCTCCTTAGATCCCCCATTAAAAAAATAACAAACCTGAGTGTTAACAAGGCCATGCAAGTTTCATTCTTTAAGTGAAAATATAGTTGGATGATAGTTAGATGTTTCTGTACATCAAGAACAAGGATCATTATAAAGCCACCCAATTTGCCTACAGCACTGAACATAAAAAAGCAGTTGATGAAGTTCCTCTAATTCAATATATTAAAAATGTTTAGTATAGAATGAAATATTTACTCTGTACCACATCTCTACGGATAATTTTTTCCATAAAATGGTAATGTATTAACAAGTAGAGTGCACAGTTTAGCTTCCTGCAGAAAATACCAACAATTATGTTATACATATTAAAAAAGAATGATAGTAACTGTAACAATCTCTCTTACCCAGCCAAGGGCATGATTTATTGATAAAACTGCCACAGTCCACACATAAGCTAGTCTTGTAATCTTTGTATGATTGACAAGGAAATGAAATAAAATTGCAGTTTGTTTCCAAAGATGCCATGAACAAGTGAACTGCTCTCTGGTGGTTGCATTTAATGAATTCAATTCCTTAAGGGTTAAAAAAAAAAAGCAAAACAACAGTAGATGTATTAAGGTATGTTCACATACATTTAAAAGCAAAGTCAAGATGAAGTTTTACTAAATACTATGTATCATAGGAATATCGCTGACTTTAATACACAGTTTTATCTCAAATCGCTAAACATATAGTATCAATGAAAACTTAAATTTAGCACTTTTTTGCATATTTATAATAAATTTTTAAAGTAATAATTAACACAGCAGAAAGGTTTAATTTCAGTGTTTCACAAGCCCTACACAGTGCACCTTTACTTAATAACTAGCATACATATCTTTTCCTTCTAATCCTTCACTCCTAACATTTTCACCTGATGACAAAGATGACTATGAAACCAGATGACATTAGAACTTTATTACCATCCTTTTCTTTTCCAACCATTTTTCTAACTTTGCACATCCTCATCCTTTTCACCAAACTTCTTCTACTACGGTGGCCTTTGGTCACGTGTTATTTGACCAGTTGCCATTATGGACCTAAAAGCATTTCTTGCAATGGCTCTGATGTGAGCCAAATTCCACACCATGGGGAAGTTGCTCAGCTGTCTTTATGGACAGAACAACCAAGTATCAAGAGTTTTCAAATTTGTCTTTATACAGTAATACTGTGATGGTTAAGATTAACTCCTGAGATTAAAATTGTTTTATATGATACTTTAGCTGTGTGTGCTTCCTCAATGACTTGACTTCTCCTAATGTTTAAAACAATGAACTAAAATTATTAAAAATATAATATAAGAGGTCTTATCCATGACCAAATTGGATGTCTACTGGTAACCTTTATGAACTAAGCACAATAAAATTAAACCATAGTCAACCAATAACTCTCCTGAGTCATGAGAAATGGTGAGGAAATCAAAACACTGCCTACAGATTAAAAGGAGAAGAGTAAGCTATTTTCTTTCATTATTTCAAATATTATGTAATTCATTCAAAAATCTCTCAGTATACCTGAGAAAATTGATTTAGGACAGCCGGGTTGTTTATTTCCTCCATTTGGATAAAAATCTATGTGGCCCAAGGGCTCTTGAATGCCTAAACCTGAGAAGAAAAGCACCCAAGAGTCATAACGTGTACATAATTAGGGGAGCAGCTTGCATAAAACAAAATATCCTATAAAATCCATGGAAAGTTACTCTTTAAATATTAGAACTGAAAATAAAATAAGCACTATTTTTATAAGAATAATTTTTTCTGCTATAAATTCTTCACAAAAAGTATATTTAGCTAATTTAATATATTTTCCAGTCACCAGTTTACTATGGGTGAGTCACAGTTTTTTGTACGATGAATGTGTAAGTGAAAAAAGAAATGGAGCAAAATTCCTTAAAGTGGAAAATACTTTTTTATTGGATGGAAACCATAATAAACAAGTAAAAATACAGTATGTCAAATAATAAGTCCTATGGAGAAGAGTTAAGTAGAACAGGAAGAGGACAGGAAGGGTCTAATGAGGGCGGTATTTTCATGTTTAAGTCATTTGGTTAAGGAATTTGCCACTTGAAGTTGGAGTGGAGCAAAAATGTGGAGGATGTGAGGCAGTGAGCCCAGGGGATATTTGCATGAGTATGCTTGGGGTATTCATAGAAGCCAGTATGGCTAAAGCCTAATCTGTAAGACAGAGCTTCGGAGCAAATGAAGCCAAGTCCTACAGTGGGCCTTTTCCATCAGTGTGATGATATGCTTTCATTTTGGGTCATAATTCCTAAGACCTGCTGGTGCTGGATTCACTAACTGGAAAAAATCTAAAAACTAAGCTACCTCAGCTGGAGCAGTTTAAGTCGGAGTGACATGAAACACATAGCTTTGATTCAAGGGCCTATGTAGCCCTGTAGATCCTTAGAGCACAGGTGAATGTACAGATTCTGAGCCTATTACCAGCATATAACTCAGAGAAGCCTTAACAATGAAAAGGACTAGCAAACCCAGAATACTCAGAACTCTGATTTGATATAAAATTATGCCACCAAATAAGATTACAATGCTTTACTCTGGGGCACAAAACATTTACTGCAACATAGTGAACTCACGAAAGAGATCAGTAATAGATTTAGCATAAAACAAAGATAAACACAGGGGTCTGGCAAAAAGGGTTTAGATGCCACAACTTGACTTAGTTCTAGGATGTTAACAGAACCCCTAGTGAGTTGTTAGAAGGACATGAGAACACTGGGCATGTACACTGAGACTGGGGAGAGGGGAGAGGAGCACTGTTTAATGCCTAAGGAAAGACAAAGGACAACCTAGATGACTTCATGACAAGTTCCCTTATAGAATCCAGGGAAGAATACGTATGACTCGATTGGGACAATGGTGAGGATATGCTAGACAGTCTGTCCTAACATCCCATCATCCTCTTAGCTTGTGGAATTTAAGCAAGGAAAGGCATGTTTCCCAAATAACTAAAAAGTTTTTAAAAACAAGATCAAAAATTAACAGCATTAGAGATCTGTGAAATGTCCTCATATATGAACTTGACATGGAGTTCCAAGACTAGTGGTTTCCAGTTTGGAACCATCACTTTCTCTAACCTGCCACCGAAGGAGACTCAAACCAATAGGACTGCTTAGGAATCTGGGGGGAGCAAAAGAAATTTGTCATTAACTTACAAGCAGCCCTTGATGCAGTTGTACCACATCTTTAGTAATAAATGGTCTTGTCAAGCTTTTTAATTTTAGGAATGTGGCTTCTTATTTGGGTTTTCATTTATATTTTTTCTTACTGACTTTAAGAACTTCTTATATGCTTATTGTCTATTTGGAATGTCTCTTTCATAATGTCCTGACTTTTTCTTAACTAGGTTATATTCATCTTTATTATTGGCTGATAGTGGGTTTTTATCTCTTTTCCTGCTTTTTTTTTAACAACTTGCTGTTCATATCCTTAAAGTCTTCATGACATTCTCAATCTTTATATAATCTGACATTTTAATCTTTTCATTTGGGTTAGAGGTTTTCGTGTATTTTGGGAAAATGTTATTCATTATTCCAGTGTTATAAAGGTTTCAAAAATAGCTCATAAACTATTTATTTTCCTTTCACATTTATGCACACCACAAGGGAAGCATTTTTGTGTTTCACATGAGTTTAAGGCTTTTCTAAACCTCAGAATCCAGTTGACTGAAACAGAACCACTTAGTTACTGATAATAGTTGTGTCTTCTCTTTTTGTCCTTTGTTTCCTGTCTCTGAGAATTTATTTTTAAAAGAAATATAAGAAGTTCAATAATTCTATGTTCCTTTCATTATATGGAAAGAAGGCAAAAGTGATATAAATAAATTTTAAAATGATAACTAATTTTTATCATTTCCAAAGTGCAAATGTTGGATTTTTAAAGCATCTGCAATTCATAATTTTTATTCAAGTAATCTTTTGGTATGTTTCATATTTGCTCTATGTCTATTTCTATGTGTTTATTTTGTTTAATTCTTAACTTTCTAAGATAGATGCTTAGATTATTGATTTTCAGCCTTTCAAGGTAGCTGCATTCTAACCTATACATTTACTTCTAGCAATGGCTTTTGCTGAATCCAAAATTAATATGAAATAATGTGAATATTATTCAATTCAAAATATTTTGTATTTCCATTATTATTTATTATATTATTCATTAGTTACTTTAAAATGTTTTTTCACTTTCTCAAAAATATATTGATTTTAGTTATATATCTGTTATTTATTTGGATTAAGTGCACTAAAGATAGAGAAGATTATGATTTCTATACTTTGAAATATTTGAAAATAGATTTAAGGTTCAATATATGCTGAATTTTGGGTAAAATAGCCATGTGTGTTTCAGAAGACTATAAATTCTTCAGTTCTAAGGTGTAATGTTCTATTAATGTCTATTATATCAATTGATTTAATTAAAATTATTCACTATGATTATGCAGTTGCCCTTTAACAATGCATTTCTGTCAATATTGCATTACGTATTTTGAAGCTGTGTTATAAGGTACATAGAAACTGGAATTGTTATATCTTCCTTGTGAATTCAATGTTTTATCGCTTTAAAGTCTGTCCACATTTTTAGTAGTTTATGTGATAAAATCAATTTCGTCTATTATAGATTGATCACCAGTTGGAGGATAATATCTGCATATATTTTTTATCACCATTCTACTTTCAAATATTCAGCTTCCTTGCTTTTATATAGGCATTTACTAAATAAGAGTGGGATTTTAACTTTTTAATAAAGTGAGACAACCACAATATTTTAATTCAAGGATAAGGCTATTTATCTTAACTGTATAGTTGTGTTTAATTTTACCATTTTATTATCTACCTTCTATTTGCTTCACCTGTTGCATGTATTCTTTCTCTCTTTTCTTTCCTTCTTTTAGGCTTCATAAAAATTATATTCAATTTCTGTCCTTGATTAGCTTGAAAGTACTCTTTTATTATATTCTTGCTAGATACCCTAGAGATTCAACATGAATACTGAACTTACGAACATCAAATGTTAAAGGTCATTTTTACCTTCTTCTGTACAATGAAATGGAGAAAGCTTGAAATTCATTTACCACCTGAAATCATATGCTATTTTTAACTTATTTTAATTATCTATATATTTAAAGTCCCATAAAACATTATTAACAGTATTTTATGCTATCAGCATAAGTTTAGATTTAACTAGTTCACTGTTCTTCCCTCCAAAATAGGGACGATCTAAGAATAATTTTCATTCTGCCTGAAGAATACCTTTCTGCTCATGACTGTCTGAAGAGTAACCTTTCTGCTCATGACAGTTTCTCTCCAGTTTAAATTTGTCTGACACAAAATACATGTATTGTTGAAACAGATTGGGATACTATCTTAGCAGTTGTTTCTATTCACCATATGGTAGCAATCATTCTGTTGTTTTCTCGATCCCACTGTTTCTGTGGAGAACTCTGTTATAACTATGGTCAAATTTATTCATCTTATTTAAATAGATCTGTATGCTTTGATGATGGCTGTTTATGCAATTCACTATTATTCATCTCAATGGAGATTAATCTTTATTATTTTTCTGATTGAATGGAATTAATTGGGCATTTTGAATTTGTATAGTGATTCTATTAGTTTGGAAAAATTATGAGATAATATCTATTTAAATATTGCTTCTGTTTCATTTTTCTGCCCCTTTATTCTGGAATTCTAATACGACATAATTTACCTTCTCATTGCATATACTATACATCTCTTAACTATCAATCTATATTGTCCATTCTTTGGTACCCATTTGCTTCAGCCTAGAAATTTACTTTTCACCTACTTTTTAGTTCACTCACTCACTCTCTCTTTATCTATTTCTAATTTTCTGTTAAATCTATTCAATGGATGTCAATTATTTTACCTTTTAGGGTAAGAATTTTCATTTTTCAAATATAATTAATAACATTTATACTTATTTTCTGTTAAAATTTTTAGTCTTATCTTCTACCTTTTTAAAAATATTAATAGCAAAAACCACAATTACTTTTGCAGCAACCTAATAATAAGCACATTTTCTTTATAGCCAGTATATAATAATTCCAGTACCTGGAGGCCTATAGTTCTTGTTTATTGACTGTTGTTTCTGCTGGTTCTCATTCAGGCTGTGTTGCTCCAAGTGTGCCTGGTTATCTTGGATGCTAAACATTTATTTTAAAATGTTTTCATAAAGATAATTTGAGACTGAATTATGTGAATTTTCTACAAAGAAGGCTACTGTTTGCCTCTGTCAGATAACTAGGAGCTCTAATGATTCAGAATCTACTTAAACAAAAACTCAGTAAATGTGCTTTTGAAGGGGCAACTCAGATAACTAGACGCTTGCTGCAGATCATAATAAGGCCGGTTTGTTCAGCTTTACCCAAGCTCCTATAATGTCCTTGGGGTTCCAAACAAGAATAACAGATGATATGTTTTGCAAACCCAATATGAGGATTTCAAAAGCATCTATCTTTTGGGTATTGGACTGATCATTTTCCCCAACATCTCAGCAAGAATATTTGCCCAAATTACCTAATCCACAAATCTAAGGTCACATGACTTTTTGAACACCAACAACTGAATAAAAATAAGGATTATTGTCAAGCAGAAAATGGGATCATTGTCTAGCATTCAAGGAAAAGGAAGTCTACCAGGTATGTGTTGAGTCCACATATCTCATTCAGAAATTTCTCAGGACAGGTACATATGCAGCATCAAACATTTGTTTCTTACTTGGAATAGTCATAAAAAGATCAATCAAAAGATCAATCAAAGGGTCCAACTATGTTGTCTCCAGTGGCAGGTTAGTTCTGATAGGTCACATCATCAAAAGATGTTAAGAATATAAGACAATCCAAGACAGTTCATTAGGGTAAGTAAAAATTGAAAACAAAAATAATAAAAAGTATGAAGAGCTAAGACAAAAATCCATAGGCAGAATTGAAGTTAGAGTTTCAGAAAGAATTCAGACAAGAGACTATGGATGATTAACTGGCCAATAGGTATGTTGTGTGTGGATGTGCCAAGTTGATGTAAAGAGTTAGGGATAATAAAGACATGAGATGTTTGGATATCACACTAAAACTATGACTCCCAAGGCTTTGACTGCTTATAGAAGTAGGTGAACCTAAATTTCAAAAAAGGAGCAAAATTGTTACCATTGGAGTCTCAATCTATTGACATGTAGTCATGGGGGTTGAAAAATTGCATCTATGGCATTTACGTATCTCACCAAACAACAACAACAATAATAATAATACTAGTGTGGTAGTATAGATCACCACAAGATAAATTCAGGGTAATATGGGAGCAATGATATTACCTGGATGAAGAGAAATAAAGCCTCCAGAAATAGGGAATTAGGGGTGGTCTTCGTGTCACTGCCCTTGTCTCTATCTTAACACCGAACCCTCTCCTGATTCTTACAAGTATTTATAAGAATAATATATTAGTTAAGTACATCATCTGGAATCAAAACATATGATTTCAAATTATGATTCTACCACTTACTGATCTTACGACCTTTATTCTGGTTTCCCAGACTGTAAACGGAATGATAGTGTTATCTATGTAATGGAAATTTAGTAGAATACACTAATTAATTCATACAAGCACTCAAAACACTGCCTAATATATAGGAAGTGCTCAATAAATATTAGTATTAACAAATTCAAATCAGGAAGGTGATGAGGACAATCTGTTTTTTAAAACTGTTCGATGCCCTCTGGCCAAGAATCCAATATCCTGTTAGAGATTTTCAGCTAAGATAATTAAAAACAATAGAAAAATGTATTTCCTTACATTTAGGGAATACTATTCTCTATTTGTGGCTGAAATGCTGTGTTCAGTTCTAGTCGACATATATCACAGCAAGAAAATAAGTGGAGAGAATGGTAACCTAAATACATCAGGAACATTAAACATGGGGGAAAATGTGATCAAATCAATAAAACTGTCAACAGCATGAAAAGAATGAACTCTTAGTTATCTACTTCAGTCTTTTAGGATGACATAATACATCTTGAAACCTGAAGGAAGCAAGCTAAAGTCAGAGTGCCATTTGACAATGCAGGACACTAAGAACTATTGCTTGGGAAATAGTATCATTCTATAATTGCAGGGTTAAAATCATTTTATCCGTGATGTTTTTTCTTCTTATGCTCTCTCTGGCCCAGGGTCTACATTTCCCTCTCCATTTTCAAATAATTAAGTGATAAATCCTAATTTGTTACCATTGGAGTCAGAATGGATGACATCCACAAACTTTGCATCAGTGTAATCTAATCTGCCATATGGTGGCTTTCTGGAGAACCTTGGCCCGGCAGGGTCAAGACCTAAAAAGCAAGGCAGAAACCATCAGTCTAATCAAGTCTACAGAGCTCATTATATTGAACAGTTCTATTATTATTACATTATATACATAAAAAGCATTTATACCTTTAAACCTATCAAAAAGCATATTTAAAAACAAATGAAAGTGGATGAATAGCAGGTATCTTCATTATTTGAACAGTACTACTAGGCTTCAGAGCTTTTCAAGTAAAGCCACAACAAAATATTGTAGGAATTTTTGGAGAATTTTAATGTAAGAATGAATTAGGAGTAATACAGTAGTTTATATTGAATAATAACTACTACTTCTTCTCCTGAAGGAAAAAAATAATGAATACCATCTGGTTCTCTCTTGAACTCTGTACCTTGCTACTTCACTCTGGATTTATCTGTAGATAGACCTGTAAAGCTTTTTTAGATGCCAAATATGATTTGGGATATGGAATAAATCATATTATGATTCATTTCTCATAAGAATTTCTCACACACTCTTAAGAAAAGAAAAATATATTTTAAATTCCATGGAGTATGAATCATATTTCTAGGGTATTTTAAATTCTAAATAAAAATTCTAGACTCATGACTTTCTGAGGAGTGTCAAAAAGAGGAGAGAAAAGATAAGATTCAGTTTCTTGAGAACATCTATACAATGAAGAAACAATCTTCTTAAGATATTTGAAGGTGAAATATAATGTTTCTCATCTCAAACACTTCTATTATCTCCATTTTACTTAACCCACTTGACTGAAAGAGGCAGAAACGCCTTTCTTCCTATAAATTATTCTGATGTAGAACCCCCACATTTGGTGGTCTTTTAGTTCCTGATGGTTGCCTGGTATTTGGATCCATTCAAACCAGACTAATAAGTGCAAATACAATTTAAAGTATAAATTGAACAAGTGTGGTTGTTGAAAGAGAATAGGCCTTAAGTACGAGGGAACTTTGTATAAATAAATCCTGGCTAAACTGTTACTTCTTGACCCTACTACATTCATTCAGTTAATTTGTTTTCACACGTTTGATAATATTAAAACTGATTAGAGTAAGGGTATGCTTAAGGTTTGTAAAGTTAACTATCTATATGTTTCTCACCTCTCTCCCCCTTTTTTGAAATTTAGCTAAAGACACTATTACCTTTTGTCAACACTTAACATTATTATAAATATTCTATGGACATAGATATAAATAATTGCTTCTCCCCCCCCAATAAAATGGTAAATTGGTTGAAAGGAATATTATCCTCCTATTCCTAAAATCACCTCCACTCATACAGGAAAGAATGAAAAGCCATGTCATCCTTATTAGGTGACTAAGTTTTCTGGATGCAGTAACTTTGTTATGGAAATATGAATGGGGACCCATAGCCCCTTAAATTGGATATAACTCCTGATTCTTTTGTAGTAAAATAAAAATTTTTAGAGAGTTGAAATGATTCAAAGTTTGTGATAACTAAGTACACAGTTATATTCTTAGTTAATACATAAAGTATTTTTATTTGATGGGTTATATTTACTTCTGTATTCTTAGGATAATATGTCCTTAAAAGTTAGCTGGGACTGCAGAAATAGGTATTTTTCTCCCATTTCCTTTTCGGTAACTTAAAGTTAAAATTTAGCTGGGACTGCAGAAATAGGTATTTTTCTCCCATTTCCTTTTCGGTAACTTAAAGCTCTGTTGAGAACTAAACAAGACTTCAGAGTCTAATTAAAACAAAATAATATTTGAATATAACATAATAAAAAATAAATGTTTGTACATAATTTCTACTGCTTAGTTATTGTACCCATTAAATTTTAAGCAAAATGCCCAGGTGCAGTGGTTCACACCTGTAATACAAGTGCTTTGGGGGGCTGAGGTGGGCAGATTACTTGAGGTCAGAAGTTTGGGACCAGCCTGAGCAACATGGTGAAACCCTATCTCTACCAAAAATACAAAAATTAGCAGAGCATAGTAGCATGTGCCTGTAATCCCAGTTACTTGAGAGGCTGAGGCAGGAGAATCACTCAAGCCCAGGAAGTAGAGGTTGCAGTGAGCTGAAATTGCACCACTAAAACTTCAGCCTGGACAACAGAGCGAGACTCCAACTCAAAAAAGAAAAAAAAATAGCAAAGCAACTTCTGATGCTTAAACATACGCTAAAACAATAATTTTATAAGAATAATTTTACCTGTTATTCTTCCAAGTTGACCATGAAATATTTTTCCAACAAATCCACTGATATGAGCCCCTAAGCTCACACCTATGAAATGAAAATTGTCAAGAGATGCACCATGCTTCTGCAATTAAAAAGGCAGTGTTAACAAACAGTACTCATTTCAAGTAATCACAAATCATGCCTCCTTCATATAGCAACATTTTAAAATTCATTAATTTTTCTGGCTTAATTCATTTTGCAGTTATAGGGAAAGAGACTTTATAATTTCAAAACAACTAATATTTGTTCAACTTATGCCATAAAATATTTGACTTTTCTTTATTCATTTTTAATATCATTTTCTTATTTTAAAATTGTATCATCTCATGCAGGACAGTATATACAAAATACAATTAATTAGCAAAGGGTTTTATAATAATAAACATTACTAGGTGCTTACTTTCTGCTAGCTACCTCAATATGTGCCTTATAACATTTACATTTAATACTCCCAATTTCGTTATGTTATTCATTTTTATCCTATTGCCTAAAACTGTCATTAGTACCTATTAAATGCAAAATAAATAACATTGTATCAATTCTCCTTTTTTTAAGGAAACACTGTCAGAAAATAACGACTTGCCAAAAGCCACATTGATTCATAAAAGATGGAATCCAAGCTGCCGTAGTCTGAAAGTTTGGATCTCCCTAAAATGCATAATCCTCAAGGTGATTATGCATTTTACATTTATATTTTGAGGTGAGGTCTTCTTGTGGGTTGGAAGAATTGCATTATGAATGTGGAACCCTCATGAATGGGATTAATGACCAGATAGAAGAGACCTCTTAGGGATCTCCTTCGACTTCCACCATGTGAGGACATGGTGAAAAAAGGCATCATCAATGAACCAGGAATTGGACCCGCACCAGACACTGAATCTGCTGATGCCTTCCCCTTGGACTTTTCAGACCCCAGAAATATAAGAAATAAATTGTTGTTGTTTATAAGCTACCTAGTCTATGGTATTTGGTTATGGCAGCCCAAATGGACAAAAACACAAACCAAGGTCTGACTTCAAAATTTACGCTAATCTGCCTTCTTGTTTTATCTATTCAGGTTGTGTCAAAAACCTTAGGAAGTTTCACAAAAGTTGAATAGTCATTCTCACTTCAGAGATAATATAATCAAGTTCACGGATTTTAGGTGACTTCCTCACAAGCTGAGGAGTGAGTGATGCAGTCCAATCTTCCAAGGCCAAGGTCTGAATACCTCTTAGTCTAAGCTCCAGGAAGGGACATTAGGCAACTACATGAAGGTGTATTTCCACCACGCTCTCAGGGGTGAATGTGAGACTCGTGGGCAGATCACAGTCCAGCCCACACAGTGATACACCTGATGGCTTGCATAAGATGTGGAGTATTTGCCACAAATGAAAAACTAGACTCAGGCTTTCAAGGCAAAAGGTTATCATTTTCTTCACATGTCTCACAGCCATGCCCCAAAACCTGAGGGAGTATCTCTCTAGAATCCAGTGGTGCCGATCTTTTAAAACTTCCTCTGTAATGTAAATCCTCTGTAAGCAAAGACACTGTTAGAAATTTATCTAATATTACAAATTTTCCTAAATATTTCTATTTAAATTCTCTGCACTTTGAGGCACATATTTATTAGTTGAGGAAAGACCAGTATCATCAGGAAAAATCAATGATGTAATTAATAGTCTATTGGTAGGAATGGTTGAATCAATTAACTCCTCTGTCTCTCTACAGGAATGGAATAGTTGTGTCCAAATTTGGGGGTGTAAAACTAATAATGAAAGTCAATTTATTCAATGATTACTAAATTTCATCCATTGATTAAGCACATATATAATTCAATATTCATATAAATATTTTTACAACATTTTGTTATTCTATATAAACAAAAAAGGAAATACAGCACCAAGAGGCCATGTAGTTGTTCAAAGTCACACAGTTGATCAAAGATGGATATACACTTTGAACCCATCCAGTCTGACCCCTGGTCACTACGTGTAACTGCTTCTTGAAAGTGTTATGTTTGTTGTTTTTAACAGGGTCTTGAAAGCTCAGCACAACACAACTCAAGGACAAATTTCATGTCCAAGAATGTCCCCAAATCAGATATCACCCTTTTTTCTCTCAAGCACCCACAACTACCTACTTTTTTTTTAAGGATAAACATGGATCTCCCTAAGGTTTGACAAGAATCATTCACAGGTAACATAGAACTGGCCTGAATTTTATTTGATCCATTCAAATCCTGAGCAGACTTGAATGAATCTGAGGTCCACCTCCAAAGTTGACAGAAGTTTGCTACTTTCCAAAATCATTTTTTGCCAGTGATCCCAGCACTTTGGGAGGCCAAGATCACCTGAGGTAAGGAGTCTGAGACCAGCCTGGCCAACATCGTGAAACACTGTCTCTACTAAAAATAGAAAAATTAGCTGGGCATTGTGGTGGGTGCCTGTAATCCCAGCAACTCGGGAGATTCAGGCAGTAGAATTGCTTGAATCTGGGAGGTGAAGGCTGCAGTGAGCTGAGTTTGCACCATTGCACTCCAGCTTGGGCAACAAAGTGAGACCCTGTCACCCCAAAAATGGCTTTTCTTTACTTTTACTAATTCACACTTGATTATCTACAAATGTTTTGGCCATAGATTTTTAAAGATAACTAAAAAAGGTAATAATCAGAAAGTTTATATTCCCTGCCCACATAGAATCACCATTTTATTCTGAAGTTGGTATAGGTAGAGTTAAAATAAATCTCAGAAGATTTTGAAATATAGCATAATATTTACTAAAATTTAATATAATTTTTAAAAAATAAGATAGCATATGTCTAGTTATAGAATTATTCACTGAGCCTGACAAAGAAAAGATGGCTACATACATTAGTATATCAAACCAGTAATTGTTAATGCTTATGGAGAAAAGTATTTATCATAACCTTGTGGTATTAAATATAACACACTATATATTATATAATATGTATAATACATTAAATTCCCAGACTTACCAAAAGATTTTTAATGTACCCACTCAAACTTACAGCAACTTTTCTGGTGTTTTTAACTGCTCTACTATAAATAAAAGTTGTAGCACCCCGGTTCCAGTCTACTACAATTACATTCATATCTTCTTCATTCAGCAAAATCCTTAGGAAGTTCTGAAGCCATGATGGGATGGAGCCCACTGGTCTATATCCATGAATAAGCCAGACTGTTTTCTTTTTTGTGTCGAAATTAACATTAAGTGAGTTATTGTGTTCAAACAGTGGCTCAGCACAATTTAGGTTGTTCCTTGTATACATCATCAGAATTGTCTCTATTCTCGGAATAAATAAATCTCTGAAGGAATCCTTTACACTTAGCTGAGAGAATTCAAGGCATGGTCTTTTATTCTCTGAAATAAGAAAATGTCAGTCAAGCTGAATACTGGGATAGTATTTATTCCAAATAACAGAATTGAAAGTGGAGGGTAGAAAGGATTTCATTTCATTAGTCCTTCAACATAATTTACTGAGCAACTACAATAAAGTAGTGCATTAATTATGTAAAAAGATTTTCTGAACCAAAGATAACATAATTACAATGGAAAATAGAAACGTGATTTGTTCCAATATTAAGAAGACTTTTTCATCTGTACAAAATATAATAGTAATGGGTGTGAGTGAAAGCAATAATGCTGTTAATAAAGAAAGTGCAATGGGCACTAATCAAAGTAGATAAGTTAATTACAAACTTTAACAAAAGTTTTACAAAATAGTCCCTATATGATAAGCATTAGAAAAAAAATATTTAACCTGACTAGTTATCAATACAAATCAAAACAATCAAGTAATATTTTCCCTATAACATTTAAACTACTTTAAAAAAATAATAATAAATATTTATATTACATGAATGTTGAGATCGTAAGTTGATACAACATTCTTTTGAAATTTTGCATGTGTATGTGTTTATACTACATATAAACTTAACAAATCTTTTTCTTAATTTTCTTTCTAGGACTTACAAACCATTTGTTTTAAATTGTAAAGACATTAATCTCTGGGTTATGTAGAATGGGACGAAAAGGTAAAACATCTTAAATCTCATTCTTATAGTATTTTCATCCATGCGTGCATTGTCACTATTAACTATTTATTTATACATTGTTCTACATGATTATCTATCTGCACAAGAAAGAACTAGGGTAGAAAATAAAATAACTAAACCAGATTAATAGCAATAGTCATTCCTAGACAATGAAATGATGGTTGCCTTTTATTTTCTTTTTCACAGATTTTTGTGATTCTAATTTTTTCACAATAAGCAAATAATCCCCAAAGTGTTCCCCCACCCCAGGTGATAGTGTATGTTCATACTGTTTCTAGCACTTTAATTTCACAAGAATACTTAGGAAATAATTTTTCAATCCATACCAAAAATTACAAAAGCATTAGTACACTTTATGCCAGTAATTCCACTTTAAAGAATCTATCCCAAGAAAAACATAGCAAAAACAGAGTTAACAAATACTGTTTTAATATTGAGATAATATCTATTTCTTACAATAATCCTAGTTTTCAAGTATATACAGAATATTGTCACAATTGTCTAGATGAAGAAAAAGAAGGAAGGCAATGAAGGAGAAGCAAGACTTGCATTCCATTCCTACGTTAACAGCTGAAAGATACTTGGAAAAGTTATTTCATTTGTTATAAATATCAGAGAATGAGGAAGTGTAGAAGAGAAATATATTGAAACACAATACAACATGAATGCATGCTACCCTGTGCAAATCGTGTGGGAAATCTCTACATGCACCTTCCCACCACCTGGAATATTGATAAGAATTTAATATATATCAATACCAATCAATACATCCAAAGTGCTGGTCTACTCCAGGTAAGATCAATTTTACCTGGCCCTAGAATGAGTAATGAGGAATAAACCAGTAGGATCCTGGTGATAAATATAGGAGACAGAAGTCATCACCCAATATGATCAGCAAAGATATCTGTTAACAGATATAGAAATCTTTCTCATTAGAATGCAAGAAAAATTATATGTCAAAAACCTGAGCTGGAGACCATTAAGAGAAAATATTCCTAATACATTTTCTACATCACCATAGAATAACTTGATATATTCTACATCACCGTAGAATTACTATAGTTAACAATAATATACAGTTTCAAATGGCTAGAAGGAGGATATTGAGTGTTCCCAGTACAAAGAAATAACTGTTTGAGATATCCATATGCTAATTACACTGATCTGATCACTATCTATTATATATATCAACACATTACTATGTATAGAAATAATATGCACAATTATGTCAATTATTTTTTAATAAAAAACCAAGATATTCAGTCAGTAACTCATTTATGCAAATGGTTGAAAAGCTGTTGAAAATGAATCTGACTACACAAGCAAAATAAAGTATATATCTAACAAGTCTTTAAACCAGGAATTCCCAAACATGGTTTTTAAAATAGATGTAAAAAAATGACTGGGAATGTATGAATTTTCAGAATGTAGTTTCCTTGGCCATCCCCAGAGATTCTGATTTTGTAGCTATATCTGCATCTTTAATGGGGTAACCTTGGGGATTCTGATACATTAGTTCATGAACCACACATGGAGAAGCCTTACATCTGGAAATTATCTGAAAGAATTAAAGAGAAAATGAACATGGAAGAAAACAGAGTGGATTATTCTAATCTAGTTTTTATTGCTTTATATGTGACCAAATCCACATTTATGTTAACTTCTTTGAGCTTCGCAATGGAGCAACATAGAATTACAGCTATTAACTGCATTCAGAAATGAGGAAACAAGGTTCATAGAGGATAAGTGACTTAGCACAAGATAACATGCCACCAGGACATGAATCTGGATCTTTTAATTCCAAATTTCATGTTCTTTCATGTGACCCTTGTTTAAAGAGATTTGGGTACAATAAATGGAAATCCTTTGAGGGCATCTGATTTTAGTAAGTCAAGGGAAATTAATCGTGGATCATATCAGAAAAATACTGATACAATTTAGAGAAAAATAATTATTTTGTTGAGGCAGTCAACTCAGAATCCCATGTGTTCTAGAAAGATTACAGCCCTACAAACAGGCTTCTAAGGCTCCATAACTTCCTACCCTCTTATTACTCCAATGTGGTCTGTGTACCTATAGGCATCACCTGAGAGCGTAATAGAATTGCTAATCTTGGGCTTCACTCTACCCTATGGATAAAAATTCACATTTTAACATGATTCCTAGATGTCCTATATCACGTACTACAAAATAACTTTACAAAAATAAGTCCATTTTATTCTGTATTTCACTTTCCTCAACTGTGAAATCAGAAACCTGAATTAATCTATCTTTAGCATCTCTTCCAAGGCACACAGGAGTGGGAAACTATGTCTTGCGGCCCAGTCTGGTTGACAAGCTAAGAATGTTTTTTACATATTTAAATGGTTGGGAAAAATCAAAATTATAATATTTGGTGATGTGAAAGTTATAACAAATTCAAATGTTAGTGTCCATAAATAAAGTTGTGTTAGTACACGTGCACACTCACTTGTTTATGTATTATCTACTGCTGCTTTCTTGCTTTGGTGACAAAGCTTAGTAGATGCAAAAAAGACTGTATAGTCCACAAAACCTAAAATATTTACTATCTGGTAGTTTACAAAATTATTTCCTGGCTGGCTCAGTGGCTCACGTCTGTAATCCCAACACTTTGAGAGGCTGAGATGGGTGGATCACTTGAACCCAAGAGTTGGAGACCAGCCTGGGTAACATGATGAAATGCTGTCTCTCCAAAAATTACAAAATTAGCTGGGCATAGTGGTGTGTGCCTGTAGTCCCAGCTACCCTGGACGCTGAAGCCAGAGGATTGCTTGAACCTAAGAGGTCGAGACTGCAGTGAGCCGTGATCTCCCCACTGTACTCCAGTCTGGGTGACAGAATGAGACCCTGTCTAAATTAAAAAAAAAATTCATGACCCTTGCAATATAATAATAGCAACAACAAAAATTTCAGTTTAAATAGTTACTATAAGTTGGCAACTGTACTAAGAATAAATATGCATATATGCATATAATTTGAATATATAGATACATAGATGTGCTGCATATTTGTATAAAGTTTTTTGCTATTGCTCCTCTCCCATTTTATTCTACTTATAATTTTTAAAAACACCTGACTAATCTACTTTCTGTAGGTCATTTGTAATCAAAGGCAGATGTAATCAATGATTTTCACGTTGACAAGTATGAAACATGCCCCTCCTGGAGGTATATATCAGAATCACCAGTGGAGAATAAAGGAGCATGTATAATAAATAAAACAAACTTATATGAAATAAACTACTGAAATCCAACAAAATTTTTAATGAAGCAGAGATTCAAGGAAAATGAAAGAAAGCATAAAGGGTCTACATGGGTTAAAAATGATTTTGAGGATCAGTACAATTTTTAAATCACATATTTGCTACTTCTACTATTAACTTTTGTTAATATCTAAAAGTTATACTATTTTATTTTAATCATCATATACAAGAATTAAACTCTCCCTGCAGAGAGAAACATACAAAGCAATTATGCTTCAATTTTTCCAATTGAAAATTTAGGCAACTGACTAAGTAAATACTAATCAAAACAATAATATCAGAAAGTCTGCCAAATACATTTTCAATATAAATGATGATATTTAAATAATTATAACTGCATCCAAAATGATAATTAGGGGCTTAGACTTCAAATTTCTTTGATTTTCAACTTAAGATGCCACTATTATACCTTATAATAACATAAAATCCCTATCAAGAAACTTCGGAGTAATAATATGAATTATAAACTGCATATCAGTATCGAGATTGTATATTTAAATATAAAATTCAAACATTTCCAGAATTTATGATTATCTCAAATAGCCAATTGAAAACACAATAATTTTAATTTCTAGTTAATTTTAAAGTTATTTGAACATGCATTAACAAATTTCAAGTAAGTTTAAAACATAAAGGAAATTACCTGCTTTCATAAAACCCCTATGGAAAACTATTCATCTTGAATTTTAAATTTGCAACTGTTATTACCATAAAGTAGAACAAATTGTTCTACTTACCAAGTCAAACAAGTAATTCTACTTTATCATAAAGCAGAAAATGATACTATTAATATTGATAAACTTTATCACCATACACCGATAGAACAGGAGAAAAAAGTTCTATCTTACTACCATAAACCAGCTTTGTTTTTTGTTATACTAAATGAGAGCAAAAGTTGTAGTATATGATTATTTTGTTTGTTTTGCCATTGATAATTTACCCAAGTAAGAATTGTCTTCAAAAGTGGAGCTAGTTAAATAAAATTGAAACAAGCTATTTAAAGTGTAATTTCAAATACCAAAATAATTTCTGTTACTGAATTATTCTTTCTCTTGAGTGTTTCTGCTTATTCTCTATTTATATCTTTTTTAAAAAAAAAAAAAGCTTTCCTAGTTACTAATTAACTGGCAAGTAAATAAAATGCAAAACGTCAACTTATTAAACACATGCACACACACACATACACACACAGAAGTTTTCTTCATAGTAATGTTTGTTATAATTAGTACCAATAGTCATAGCATCTTTTTATTCTATTATGTCATAATATTTTTATACGGGAATACAGACTACACCATTGTATATGCAATTTTTAAAGATAATCACATTGTTAATAAGTATCTTACCAGATCTTACGCAGCACATCAAACAAAGAAAAATGTATACTCTCATTTGGAATCTGAGAAAAGCAAAAGCGGCACTCAATTCACCAGAAAGGAAATTCTGTGACTCATTGAAGTTTGCCTTTGGCAGGATCATCACAGGCTGCCAGGTTCTACTGTAAAAGTTCACTGATTTTTGCTCCTCCCTCTTGTTTGAAAAAGGTGAGGTAGTTTGTTTTCTCTCATTTTAGCTTGTGGTTGTGGGAAGGATTTTTAAGTCACAGGCTCTGTAATAAGTCACAAACAAAGCTTCAGCTACACAAGTTGAATTTAAGGGAATGATAAATCTAATTACATCTTTCTGTATTCCTTTTTAACCTCAGGATTTCAGAAGTGGTCCGGGAAAATATGTAAATGTGATGTTAGAAAATGCTGGAAGTGGAAAGTGTCAGAAAAAGTTGTGGTTTATATTCATCTTGATTACAAACTGAGATGTCTTTATATACATAAATCAATAATGAAATTACATCCATCAAGCTCTGTCAAGTATAAAATACAAGCTTTTCATATTTATGTTATTTTACATCCCCAAAGCAGAAGCTATTTTAAAATTCAAAATTTCACCTTATCTCTTGAGGCTAAAAGGTGAATTTTTTAAATTGTCTTTAATTATGACAACCATTTTAAAATTAGCATGCTTTTTCTTTTTACATGTTTACTTAATTATCTTCTTTTCCTACCAGCCATGGACTTTAGTAAGCAAGAAAAATTGAGAGTTAGAACAACTCTCATGAATTATAAGGTTAAAAATTAAATTTGTTTTTAAAAAATTCAAGTCTCTGTAAAGCTCCAAAAATACAGTAAGAACAGAAGTGTTTAATATGTGTCATAAACCTACAGAAACTAATCTGAGGTTTTGGAAAGTATTTGAGAAGGTCCACAAACAAAATGGGGTGTTAGTTTTAAAAAAATCATGAACATTTAACTTCTGAGGAAATTCCATCATTATTTTGACCTATTTGATCTCTGGGTGTTTTATGTGAGACTTCCATTTTTAAAACAATGCCACCACTACAATCTGTTTGGAGACCAAAAAATAATTTAGGTCTTTCCACAGCACTCAACTGTAAGAACTATACCTCTCTAACAAAGACATAAATAAACCATATCATTTCAGAATGTGAGAAGAAAGATGATCTTAAAACAATTTTTTCCTAGCAAGTTATACTTAATAAATTAAAATACAAATCTTTCCTCCTTCACTTATAATTTCCTTTTTTCTTTGTGCTTTCAATGCAGCATTACAATATGACTTTTGGACATTTACTTTCATCTTTACAATTCTGTAGAGTTCATACTGAAAAACACTGGCATATCAGATAGTACAATACAGTTTCCAAATTTAAAACTATGGTTCTTCATGTATTTTACATACTGCCAATATGAGAAAGATGAGGTTATTAATGTTTATTGCATTAAATAGCAAAATATTGGAGGATGACAAAGTAATAAAATGCCAGTAATTTAGTAAGACATAATCTATTTAAGCACTTTAGTCCTCCTTGGATATAAAAAATAATTGTGAGTAGCTTACATACATACTTACAATGTAAATAGTAACTCAAAGGCGATGTTCAGTATGATGATGTGATGAAGATAATGATGAAGAAGATTTACAATTTATTGAGCCCTATGCATCAGGTGTTCTTCAAGCACTTAAGAAGTAATTATAATAGGTAGATAATTAATGTTTATTGCAATGGAAAATCATTGTTTATCACAATATATTTTGTGAAAACTTTTTATTAATTTGTCAATGTGTAAAAATGTTTAACAATCTTACCTTTTGACTGAGCAATTAAGCATCAAACATATTTCCTACAGAAATCCAAAACATTTTTCTACACACACATCCAAGGTCCTTATATGTGGCAAGTAGCCCACATGTGCACAAATATATGAGCAAAGATGTTCATCTCAGCATTCCAGTGATAGTCAAAAACGAAAGCAATATAAAATCTAACAATGAGAGATTAGTCTAACTAGGTACCTACTGTGGATTACAATTAATGATATAGATAGATCAGTATTTATTGATGTAAAAGGTCTTCGTTACAGTTTTAGAGGGCAGAGGGAAAGCTGAAAAACAGTATTATGTAGCATGCTTTATTTTCCTAAAGTGTGAAATATATATGTATATATATATGTGCATAATTCGAAGTCTGGAAGGATTTCCTCTAAAATAGTTATCTCTGCGTGATAAATTTGTAATTTTTACTCTCTTACTTCCTTAAATTTTAAACATATTTATTTACAATATTTACAGTAAACATGTAAAATGATTAAAAAACCATATTACTTGACAAAAATGTGGATAGGAAAAAAATCAGAATAAAGACAAAATGGGGGTTAAAAAAAGTGAAGACCAAAGTGAGTTCAATTTAAAACAGCATCCATTAAAATCCCTTAACAGTAATTAGCCAAGTTCCCCCATTCACTCATTCATTCATTCAGTTGTTCATTCATTTTGGAACTTTTACTAAGCACCTATTGATTTCCAGGCACAGATTTTGTTGTTGGGGAAAAAAAGTATTAAGATATTTATTTATTCAATCTTTATTATTTCAACAACTATTTATTATACACCCACAGGTGTGCCAGAGATTGTCCTAGGTTCATTTATTATACGTTCATTCAGCTAGGGACATCAGATATCCTGATATGAAGAAAGGCTAATTCTTTATAGAATGCTACATGTATTTAACCCACTAAAACTTGCATATGAGTAACAGTCCAGTAAATGCTGAAAGTTTGAAGTGAATTATTTTTAACCCACTAGATTTATTACCATGCCTGCATTCAATATCAGTTAAGAAACAGAGTATGCTTACATTAGATAAATGATATATTGAGATCAAATTCTGAAAATATTGCTAACTACAGGGGCTGACTTTCAGAGTTTATAATATTGACTAAGTACGTTATAATTATAAGCACTATAAACTCATGTACAGCCAAAAGAGGATATTATAACACCAAAATTATGCACATTTGTAGACAAGGATGCAAATTTCAATACAACAATATAATATGAACATTAATTACAAGTGTAGTTAAAGGTTTATAGCATATACACTCATATACATGCAACAGTTTAAAGTGAAACCAGAATATACAGCTTCCATATAAGTAGTGTCTGAGGGGAATTTAAGGAGGAAATATGTTGGTTTGATATTATTTATGAAGTAAATGACTACAAATATATCAAGAGGTTTACACATAACAGAGTCTTGCAAGTATTCATTCATTTGATCAACTTATATTTATTCGCCTACAATGTGTTTTCTTAACTCCCTCCTACTATACCACAACTATACTGATGATAAAGGAAAGAAAAATAAAACAAAATGGAGACATGATGTATACCTTCATGATATATCAGTTGAAGGTAACTACTGATACCTTTAGTATTCAGTAGTTATTGAAGGTGACTACTTTATATTGTATTTGTGAGGATGGAAAAGCTGTCTCTCCCATAATATAAGTTTTAGGAGGTCAGAGTTTTATACTTGTTTTCCAAGAATTGAGCATTTAGAAAGTATCTATTAAAGTAACTATATTTAGTCTGATCCATTCCCTAAGAAACAGAATTCGAATTCCAAAGAGAAATTGCTTGTTCAAAGTCATAAAACTGTGTAATGTCAGAGTTCAATTAGAAATTAGGACTTCCTAAATTGTGTACCTTCTTATTAGAAAAGATTATTTATTTTTGTTTGGTCCATCACCCAGATAAAAGCACACCTCTTCAATTCAAAATGAAATTTCATCATGATGCCAAACTAAAGGCCAAATAATGCTCTGATTACCTATATTATATTCATGAGATGATCTCAAGGTCCTATGTAGACATATGCTAGTTTCAGAAAGGAAGCTAAGTTAACAATTGACAGTTAATTTATAAAATTACTGAGATTCTAACTTTTCTTTCTCCTTTCTTGTAACTTTATTGTTTTTAAGATTTTTATTAAAAACAAAAATTATCCCCAAGAAAGCACTAAGCCTTTAACATAGTATACCATATACAAAGTATAGCCCTGAAACCAAGTACAGCCATTTGATCCTGCCACAAACCCCCAGCTGCCATTCTTAAAAATTCTCGCTTAGATACAAATCTTGCTCTGTTCTCACCAGTATATCCCTTTGTATTGGCTTTCCCAAGTTCAAGTTCCTTTTGGAGTCCACGTAAAACCTCTGGGGCCAGTTTCAAAAACTCATCCAGGGAGCACTTTCTAAGAAAATAAACTTTAATTCTAGTATTCTGTTGTATCCGCATCCATCCAAGCATCGATTCTTTCAAAAGTTATTTACGAATAAATATCTTAATGATTTGTTCATTTATTCTTCAGACACAAAGAAATGAATCTCCTCACATTAGCCTGGGAGCAATGAAGTTACTACATCTCTACAGTCATTTTATTTAAAATGTTGATTGAACAAATCCAAATCAATTAATGTGCCAGAATAAAAGGAAGCCACCACACGAGCTAAAGGTTAGTAAAGCCCTTTCTGCAGTCATCTTTCTTACTCTCACCTATTTTCCCACCACCCAGCCCTACCCTCGGCAAGGGGGCGGTGCGGTGGGCGGTTCCCCACGGGCGCTGGAGGCGTGGCCCTGAAACATCGCCCCGCTCCCGGCGCCGGACCCGCCCCCTCATCCGGGCGGCGCCGTAAAGAAGAAGGGGCGGTGTCTCGGCTCCTACTTCATCTTACTTCCAAGACCGGAGGATGTTCCCTGCTCAGGAGGAGGCCAACAGGACCGTGTTTGTGGGGAATTTAGAGGCCCGAGTTCGGGAAGAGATTCTGTACGAGCTGTTCCTTCAGGTACCGTCCTTTGGGAAGGGGCGGCGGAGGGGCGGAGCGCGTCGGGCGGAAGCACAGCGCTCACCTGGGCCACCCAGGGCACCGCCCCCTTCCGCCCCATCCTGAGCAGGGCTTTTAATTTGGTTTCGCCTTGGCGCACCCGTTTCCAGGTGAGCGGCTGGGGCGTGTAGTGATGGAGGGATCCCACGTCCCCATCTCTGCTTCAGAGTCCTGGGGGTGGGCAGGGATCGGGTTCCCCCGCACTGCGTTTCTGAGTAAGGGCTTCCCAGAGGCTGCCTGGGCCTCGGGTGTTCTCGGGCAGAATCGAAAACAGCCCGGTCACTGTACTCCGTGAGGAGATAAGCACGTCTAACATCCAGCAGGAGAGGGGTCGCTTTTATAATGTTTCCTTTTACACCTTGCTCCTTACTTCAAGCCTCTTATGCGGAGAGTATTTTTATTCCAGCATCGTAAGTGAGATTTGAGATGATTCGGCAGCCAACTTACCGTGACTGTGACCAGTTGATTCCCTGACCAAGGCCCTTTAATTCATACCAGGAAGACCTTCGGAAACTTTGAGACCTGGTACCTCTAGGATTAAGCCTGTTGTGTCCTGTAAACACACTTACGTATCGTGTTGTCCTATACAGCTAGGTCTCACTTGCCAAAGAGATAACCTCATTCAGCCATTCCCCTAACCGTGTAATGATCCTGAATTCCAGGGCAAACAGGAAGATTCTGGGAATACAAATTGAAGAGACCCTTTCATCTTCCTAAAAGGAAGAACTTAAAATTACAATGTTTAGGATAATCTACGAAGAAGGGGACATAGAAAAGTGGTTCCCAGTGTGAGCTCTGAGGTCAGCAGTGTGACTCTGAGCCTGTCAATGAATACTTCAATGCCTCAGTTTCTTTATATGTCAAGAGGGTAATAGTATCTACAATATAATGTTTCTGTCGGAATATACGACCTAAAGGTAAAACGGCTAGACCTGAGTCAACACTTACTCTTTGCCTCCACTACTACTGCTAATGATAGTGCTGTTAGTATTCATAATAACATCAAGAGAAATCTACAGTTACTTCCTCCTATCAGAATAAGGGAAAGTTCCGAGAAAGACAATTGCAGAACTAAATTTTCGGATTGAATGGGTGAAAGGGGTTCTTTATTTGGTTGTGAAAGGACTTACTTTTGTCTCTAAACTTAACTAAAGAAACCCTCTTTAAGTTATAGATACACACAGTTTGGTAGAGAGGGTTCTCTCCAGGAATAGTCTCCTTTCCTGAACATAAAACTTTTTTATTATTTGAAAAATATTGTTGATTTTAAGACTTATGTTCATTCTTTTAATTCATCATCTTTTTAAACTTGCCCCCTTTTTATCACCTCTGATCCATGTCTGTTTTTTCATCTCGTATCATTTGAAACTATTTTTTTCCAGAAGACTTCTTTGACTTTGAGCCTCCAAAAAAAGGAGCGAGGAAGACTAGGGTGGGATTGCATTATCCAATACAAACACATGTTTAGTCAATCAGGACTCCATCAGTATCAGTTGTGTGGATCCACCAGATTATATATTTTATCTTCTCATTTTTTATAATTTCCTTCCTCCACTTAAGCAAATTGTAAATTTTATTTAATAGATCAGGTAAGAAGCATAAGTTCTTATTTTTGTCTAAATACTGAAAGGAATTGTTGAAGTGGAGTTTCTTTTCCACTTTAGACTTCAACACCCAGTAAAACTTGACAACTGTCATACTATGTATTTCATTGTGGTTTAAAAAATACTATAAGATGATGTGATTGTTGCTACATGTAAGTCTTCATGTTGAATTTTATCTTTAAAAATGCTTTGGATTATCTAAATTTATGTCAAAATTCAAATCATGTAATCATATTCTGTCCCATAGTGATTACATGTATTTAATATCAGTATAAAAATCACCAATTTTATTGGTTTTATTTATATTATTGTATATTTATCCTTTTACTATGTTCTTTCAAATTTCTGATTATACTCGGAAGTGAGAAAGTCAGTTATTTGATGATGTTATCATCAAAAATCAGTCACATTGATGAAGGCTATCATCATTATACTTTTAATACTGAGATATAGAGAAGAAAATGTAATGAATTCAGTTTCAAATACGTTGAGTTTGAAGTACAAGAACATAGAGGTCTCCATGAAAGAGACATGGTAGAAAAAGTAGATTTGCTGATGAGGTGGTCCTTGAAGCCAGAAGGGAAGGGAAGCTAGTCCCTGGAAGAGCACAGAGAATGAAAGAAAAAGACTAAATCTTAGCACAGAGAATTATTTTAAAGATGATTGTGAATATTTTTATTTAGAGTAAAAGCAGTTTTTGTATTTATGCAACTCTACAGAGAAAAATCATCAATTATTAAAGTCTGAACCATTCGACATTAAATCAGTTGTTTGTGTTTGTAAGTGCCTCCTGTAATCATTACTATGGCTACGATTTTTTTGTTAGTTGTAATTAACACTTTTCTATGATATTTGGCTCTGCATTTTTAAATCTTCATTGCATATTACAGGTTTTTCTGTCAATATAATCTGAATATTTATAATTTATATTTTATTCCATTTTAATAATGTACCATGGAATAATATCTCCAGTTAGACTTAGAGCCTCTCTAAATTCTCAAACTTATAAATGATGCAATCTATTTAAAAGTCTTAAATGTATTTAAACATTTTTCCTTTGGAAATTTGCCAAATGGAGTTTCCAAATCAAAATGCATGATATATTTATTTCTTCTTGTAAAGATGTTTAATCTTCATGACAGAACATTTAAACTATTATATAACATTGCCAGCTTTTTTGAGGTAAACTGAACCAATATTGAGTTTCTCATTTCAGTTAATTTTGTAATTCAGTCCTGCATGTATGTATGGAGAGGAAGTAGTATTTTAATCTTAGATGTATGTGTTTTCTAAGTTGGTTTCTTAAGCCTAACAGAAGAATAGTCTACTATTTCTTTTACAGTTCGAAACTAGTACCTAGAATTTTCTATTCTTAACACCATATATGTTTCCCCAGTGAACCAGAAAATACAAAGAAAGTGTGAGGAAGTGTAATGTTTATTATTAGAAAGATGCATTATTAGCAGAGATGCATAAAAATATTGCTAACACATTTCTTTTGTCTAAAGCTGAATTTGTTTGAGTATTAAAAAAAATCTTTGGATTTTTGAGAAACTAATTTTTAAGTTTTTTATAGGCGGGGCCACTAACCAAAGTGACTATATGCAAAGACAGAGAAGGAAAGCCGAAGTCTTTTGGATTTGTGTGCTTTAAGCATCCAGAATCGGTGTCTTATGCCATAGCTTTGCTAAATGGAATTCGTTTATATGGAAGACCAATTAATGTGCAGTATCGATTTGGTAGGTCCTGTCACTGATTAATCTTCAAACTGTTTTGTGGTTGGTACTATTCTTAGAGGTGTAAGCATTTTGTTTCCTATATAGTGTAAGATCAAAAAAGAAAAAATATCTCTCTGGTAATTGTTATATTTTCTCAGAACACATGTCTAATTCATAATGTTATAAGGTTAGTCTTGCCAAACCTATAGCATCTTTTCTAAAAATAAAATGTAAGATTATCATTTTAATATCAGTCAGCAAGTGGCTATGATGGTTGCTAAGGCCCTTATAAATTTAGCAAATTAAATAAACTGGGGTCACACAACTGTAGCATTTATATAGCAAGAGTATTTACTAATCTTGTCACTGCTAATGTATAGCAAGAGTATTTACTAATCTTGTCACTGCTAATACGTGCTCTTTGGAAGATAGACAGGGGACATTTGTCCTTCTGGGGAAACCTTTCTATACACGTTGCCCAGGATGTTAAGCCCTTGTAAGAGCAAAATGGCCAAAGGCAACTGTAGAGTTACCCTTACTAATGGTGGAAAAAGCCTCCTGACATGAATGGCCTCAACACCTTCTCCTGCACACGTGTCAGGAACAAATCATTCATGATTAGCTTCCCAGAGAACCCTATACCATTACTCTAGCCCTTTCTTGTTTCAGGAGACTAATAGAGGCTATATGGTAATTCTTGCAATATGTAAGCAGCCTCCTTTAAGTGATTCAGGCTTCTAAGTTCATGTGCCGTGGGCTGCCAGGAAGGAGACACCTTCCTGAGCCCTGGATCTTTCTTCCTTCTGGAAGTCTTTTGCTGTGGGTATTTGTTTTTGAATAAAAGCGTCCACACATCATGGACCTCATGGGACTGCTGAAGTCTCAGTTCCTGTGCCACCTGGTCTTCTGCTACGTCTTCATCGCCTCGGGGCTGATCATCAACACCATGCAGCTCTTCACTCTCCTTTGGCCAATTAACAAGCAGCTCTTCAGGAAGATCAACTGCAGACTGTCCTATTGCATCTCAAGCCAGCTGGTGATGCTGCTGGAGTGGTGGTCGGACATGGAATGCACCATCTTCATGGACCCGCGAGCCTACCCCAAGTATGGGAAGGAAAATGCCATCGTGATTCTCAACCACAAGTTTGAAATTGACTTTCTCTGTGGCTGGAGCCTGTCCCAACGCTTTGGGCTCTTAGGGGGTCCAAGGTCCTGGCCAAGAAAGAGCTGGCCTACGTCCCGATCATCGGCTGGATGTGGTACTTCACCAAGATGGTCTTCTGCACGCGCAAGTGGGAGCAGGATCGCAAGACAGTTGCCACCAGCCTACAGCACCTCCGGGACTACCCCGAGAAATATTTTTTCCTGATCCACTGTGAGGGCACACGGTTCACAGAGAAGCAGCACGAGATCAGCATGCAGGTGGCCCGGGCCAAGGGGCTGCCTAGCCTCAAGCACCACCGGTTGCCGTGAACCAAGGGCTTCGCCATCACTGTGAGGAGCTTGAGAAATGTAGTTTCAGCTGTATATGACTGTACACTCAATTTCAGAAATAATGAAAATCCAACACTGCTGGGAGTCCTAAACGGAAAGAAATATCATGCAGATTTGTATGTTAGGAGGATTCCACTGGAAGACATCCCTGAAGACGATGCCAAGTGCTCGGCCTGGCTGCACAAACTCTACCAGGAGAAGGATGCATTTCAGGAGGAGTACTACAGGATGGGCACCTTCCCGGAGACGCCTATGGTGCCCCCCAGGCGGCCCTGGACCCTAGTGAACTGGCTGTTTTGGGCCTTATTGGTGTTCTACCCTTTCTTCCAGTTCTTGGTCAGCAGTATCACTTGTTGGTTTTTAAATTCCTCTTGCTGTACTAAAAACAAATACTAATAACAAAAATAACCCTTTATTGAAAAGGGAAAGTGTGCCTCTTCACAATTCTTTTTTTCTTCCTTTCTTTTTTAAATACATGGTTGCATCATGTTCTCCAGTACTTTCTGGTTAACCTAATACCTAGTCTGGGATTAGGTTGGTGCAACAATAATTGCGGTTTCACCATTGATTTTAATGTCTGTGGACTAGACCAGGGTATATTATGTTCTGGCACATCATGTATAAGGTTAAATTGGCTTTTGTCCATGCAGGTTAGAGAACTCCTGCCTTGTACACTGGAGGCAAATAATACTTGTTTATTTGCCATTTTCAGTTTACAGGTATCTAGAACAAACCATCGTGTATCTTACAAGTCCCATGTCAATGTAATTCTTATGTATAGTCATTGCTTTAGACAAAGCTTGATTTTAATTCATTGATTTATAGTACTGTAAACAATCTGTAAATATGATTTGAGATGTCAGATAGATATGCATATATCTTATCTGAGTATAGAATTTTTAAATCACTACTATGTCTTAAAATATTTTGAGTTATTTTATGGCTTAATAATAGAACTCAAAAAAAAAAATGCACCATGAAGTAACCTGCTAACTGTGTTTCTTTGAAAGGGAGTTCTCGCTCTTCTGAACCAGCTAACCAAGGTTTTGAGAGCTGTGTTAAGATAAATTCACACAGCTACAGGTAATTATAAAAATGTTTCTTATTAAAGGTAAAGAAAATATGTTCTTATACTAAGAGGGGTTTTAATATATTTTGGGCTATTGTAAAACTTTACTTTTTAGGCATAGAATAAAATTAAGGAATCCTTTTGTTCTGAGCCATTAAAAGTGATAGAAAATATTTTCATTTAAAGTTTAGTCTTAATATTTTCAGTAGTAGGGGGTAGAGACTTATATTTGTAGTTTTTTTATAGTTTCCCACATGCTTTTCATAGCTGTTAAATGATTTAAGCATACAAGGTTTCATCATGAATTATAGAGATACTGTTATTTTTATTTTGTATTTGAGTTACTGGAGTTGCAAAAGTCAACTAGTTCACAAGGTCATAGGATAATAAAGTGCTAGCTTTGAAACTAAGCCTTCTGGCATTAAGCCATTCAATTAATTATTTTACTTTTTGAAATAACTTTTCTGTGTTAATTTTCAAACTGTTCTAGAACTTGATATAGCCTGATTTCTGATGCAGTGGTAGCCTCCATGTACACTATCTGGCAAGTCATCCCAGAGGTCATGAAACTCGAAGGCTCCCACACCAGATAAAAATGTTCAAATTACGCCTTTTATTAAATCCATTTTTTAAAGCAGTGAAAAGCAAGAAGAAAGATATTGGATAACTTACCACACTTAGGATAAGATCCAAGTGGGCAGAAGGACCAACTAGCTGATTGCTGGTTACACTAATATCCACATGTCTTGTTTCTCTCTGTTGTATCAGCCTCCCCTGCTGGCTGCAGTAGTTCTGCAGCCTCCTCTAAGTGGTTCAGGCTTGTTGATATATCACTTGTTAGTTTTTTTATTTCTCTTGCTGTAAATGTGAATAACCAAAACAATGCTTTCTTGCAAAGAGAAAGTGCTTTGCTTTGCCTTCTCTTTGCATTTCTTCTTTTTTTTTAAATGTCTGGCTTTATCATGCTCTCTGGTACTGTCAGTTTAACTTACAGGCTGGTAGAATAGGTCAGGGTATATTATGTTCTGATATATCATGTTTCAATGATGTATATATAGATAGATATAAGTCATCATAAATTCTGGAGTAGACAACCTGAGTTATGTGTATATTTTGGCTATGACATTTCATTGATAGTACTTTATTCTTCTAGTATTTCTGATATTACAAAGAAAGTATAAAAATGGGTTATCATGTCCCCAAAGCGATTTGCAGAGAAAAAGGTAACAATAGATATACTCTATTCAGAGAGAGAGAGTGTGTGTGTGTGTGTATATATATATATATATATATAGAGAGAGAGATATTGCTATACTATCTATCTATATATGTATATATAGAGAGAGGAGTATTACTCTGCTAGCTTGTTTACAGTCTATGATAAACACTAGAAATGTTAACAGTATCAGTGTCATCCATAATTCTCTTTTTCTTGTCTTCTGTAGCAGAACTGAATATTCTCAAGTAAACTAACAATAGCTGACCCTCCTATCCCTTTTAGTTATATCAAGCCTCTGAGCATAGGGGAGTGGCCCATTGGGCTGTCAAATACCCAGGTTTATCTTTAGGAGCAGTATTGCACCCCAGATAAAACAGTGTAATCCTCACCTTCATTCAACCCAGCATTTCGACATCAGTGAAATCAGAAGTTAGGAAAGGAGGTGGTGAAATTAGATTGCCTGAATTTGCGTCTCGGCTTTGCCACTTATTAACACTGTTAATAAAGTAGCAGAGGCGAGACGTAAATTTAGACAAGAACTAGATATGTTATTTCACTACTCTGTACCCCATCTCTAAAATGAGGATAAAACTTCAAAAGGTTACTGTGAGAATTGAATTTTATAATTAACACAAGGTGCTTAAATACTTAGCATACTTAAATACTTAGCATACAACATTCTGCAAATGTTAGCATAAAGAGAGATTTACTACTTGGAGGGGGGAACACTATATAGTCTCATGGATTGAGCCATGTATATAATGTTAAGAGCTCCTTTTTTTCTACTGATACCAAGTGGGAAAAGATATCTCTTCTTCCTCAGGAGTTAGGAAAGAACAAGCTATTGCTAGGATTTAGATAGAAGAGAAAAGAGTAGATGGGCACTAGAATATAGCAGTAAAACTCTGGTATTTTCTAGTTAAGTTTGATACACTGACTCTAAGTCATCAAAAATTCTGGAGTAGACAACCTGAGTTATGTGTATATTTTGGCTATGACATTTCATTGATAGTACTTTATTCTTCTAGTATTTCTGATATTACAAAGAAAGTATAAAAATGGGTTATCATGTCCCCAAAGCGATTTGCAGAGAAAAATGATGCTTATATAACAGTCTAGTCTTTGGTCTTCCTTGGAAGTGGTTTTTTATTCTTCTTGTTTCTTGTACCTTCCACTTTTAATGAATATTTCCTGTATTAGTTTGCTAGGGCTACTGTACCAAAGTACCACAAACAGAGTGCTTAAGCAATAGATACTCATTATCTCATGGTTCTGAAGGCTAGACATCCAAGATAAGGTGTCAGCAGAATGGCTTCTTTATGAGAGCTATCAGAAATAATTTGTTTTATGCCTCTCCTCTAGCTTCTGGTGGTTTGATGTCAATCTTTGGTATTTTTCAGCTTGTAGAAGCATTACCAAGATCCCCACGTTTATCTTCACATGGTGTTCTTCCTGTGGGTATTTGTGCTGTAGTTTGAATGTGTCTCTCAAAAGTTCATGTGTTGAAATTTTGGTCCCTAGTGCAGCAGTGTTGAGATGTGGGACCTTTTGGAGGTGATTGGGTCATGAAGGCTCTGCCCTCATGTACATTTTAATTCATTTATGGATTACTGGATTAATTGGTTATTGAAGAAATGGGTTTGTTATCACAAGTAGGTTCTGTTGTAAAAGCCAATTTGACCATCTCTCCTGAGCTCCTCTTGCCTGTGATGACTTCTGCCATTTTGTAACATAGTATGAGGCTCTCACCAGAAGCTAACCATATCTAGCCACCTGATCTTGGACTCTCCAGCCTGAAGAACCATGAGCCAGAATAAATCTCTTTTCTTCGTAGGAAACACAATACCTGTTTATTATAATACCTGTTTGTTACAACCAAACTGGTGTTGTGTTTTAACAACAGAAAATGGACTAAAACAGTCTGTCTTCAAATTCCCTCCCCCACCCTTTTTTTTGAGACGGAGTTTCGCTCTTGTTACCCAGGCTGGAGTGTAGTGGCACGATCTCAGCTCACCGCAACCTCTGCCTCCTGGGTTCAAGCAATTCTCCTGCCTCAGCCTCCCAAGTAGCTGGGACTACAGGTGTGCACCACCATGCTCAGCTAATTTTTGTATTTTTAGTAGAGACGGGGTTTCATCATGTTGACCAAGATGGTCTCGATCTCTTGATCTTGTGATCCACCCGCCTCAGCCTCCCAAAGTGCTGGGATTATAGGCTTGAGCCACCACGCCCAGCCCAAATTTCCCCTTTTTAGCAAGATACCACTTATATTGGATTAGGGACTCATCCTGTTTTAGTATGACCTCATCTTAACTTACAGTATCTGCAATGACCCTTTTTCCAAATACAGGAACATTCTGGAATACTAGGGTTTAGGACTTTAACAGCTGAATTTTGGGGAGACATGTCAGCCCATCACAGTTCCCAATTTACATGTGGTTCCACTATGCAGACAACTTTACATGCCCTGAAGAAAGATAGTGGTTTCAAAGAATCTGCAGCTGTTTTCATGGTGGTGCTAATCTCACCACTTCTGCTACTTCTGCTACTGAGTCCTATCTTCCCCACTGGGTAACCGCATTCCACCTTTCATCTTGCTCCTTGCCATCACTTTCTCCACATCCCTTCTGGACTTCCTGAGCACTGTCTTCTTAACCGGTTGTTATATTTTTCTCTTTCTGTCACTGAAAACTCTTTCCTCCCTCACATTCTTTTCTTCCCATTCTTTCCTCAAACTCATTGTTGTATAGAAGCTGCTCTTTTTGAAAGTTATCAAAAATTGATAAATTGATAATTGAAAGTGACCAGCAATTCAGAAGACTCAGTGCTATATCCAGTTTACTCTTCCATAACAACTGACACCTAATTCTTTTCTTAATGGAAATTCTGCTTCTGCTGATTTCTATAATAGTGCTCTCACCACTTATAAATGGGGTTCTGCCTAGCAATCTGACTGCTTCCTGTCATTCTTCTTGACTCATCTTTGTCTCCACCTTCCTGTGCTGATTTTAGCCTTCTTCATGGTACACTCTCTCTCCTAAGAATTAATAGTATTAGCATTAAAATTAACATGTAGACTATTGAAGAGTAGCTATAGAGGCTGGCTAGCATTTGTAACCTCTCCATAGAAGCACATATTACATTTATAAATGTATAAATGGTACAGTTTTTAAATTAGGTATTTAATTAATTAATGTGTGGAGGATGCATACAAATGTGTTCATGTTAGCATCAGCAATTAGTTTAGGAAAAAGCATAAGTTTTACAGTTCAGCAGTAAAGGTATCTTTTAAAAATAAGTTGGAGTAAGGGGAGAAAACATAGAGGACAGCTCAACAGGTGCAGCAAACCACCATGGCACACATATACCTGTGTAACAAACCTGTACGTTCTGCACATGTATCCTAGAACTTAAAGTAAAATAAAAACTTTTTTTTTAATTTGATGGAAATGTCTAACTTCTTAATTTTTTTTATATCTGGAAAAGATTGAAGTATACCCTTAGTGAATACTAACAACTTGCTTTACCCTTTCAATAGCTAGCTATAAAGACCCTTTTCAATGTCTTTATATGAATCGAATGCTATCCAACAGTTTTCTATCAGAAAGCCAAATTTGACTCTAAATATCAAGACTTCAATATCTAGTAATTAATTAATTTATTGCTATATCACTACATTATCAGTAATAATAACTGAATATTTGTGTATGTTTTTA